CGGGAGAGAGAGAGGGAGAGAGACAGAGAGAGAGACAGAGAGAGAGAGCGTGAACGAGAGACCAGAGAACGAGACCGCACCAGAGAGAGGACGAGAGAGAGGGAGCGAGAAAAGGACAGAGACAGGAGTCGAGAAGTCAGCGAAGACCGCAAGTCCAGGTCAGTCATGTTTTGTCGGGATAGTATTATATCAATTAGGTGGCATTTCAAACTGCTTTATAGGTGCACTGTGTAACTTGTCTGGTGGAGGGTTTGTCACCTGCTTGTCTCTATGGAGGTGAGCCTAAAATGCCCCAGTCTGGCCATAAACTTAAGAATTTCCATGGAGACTTTCAAGCCAAATTACTGGTTAAATTTGTGGAGAGGTGACTCCACTCACAGTAAAAATATAAGTTTTTTAAGATACTTTTGAGCAATAAAAATTACCTGTAGTTCCATAAGGGTAGAGAGGCATAAATGCAAGGTAGAGGAGTTTTCTACCATACTGTGGAATTTAAACCAGAGCATTGACATCTCCATGGAGATAGACAGGTTGTGGACCCTCTCCAGAAAAGTAACACAGTGCACCTTTACTAGTGTTACTACACTTGACAGCACAAAAAACTCAATATTTTACCTACAGTACAAACATATTATAATGGTATATTATGAAATTCTCTAATACTTGAGTATGTGTATGTTAAGTAAGTTTTATTTATTAAAGTTGTAACATTATTTATAACATAATTGCTGATAAATACATTCATTACAAAGACTGTAGCTGGAATGTTTGGATCTGAGGACAGCAACTGCGCACAACCATTTACCCAGCATTCATTAGTTTAGGCATTTAGGATGAACCTCGTTATTGTTTTTAAATGTAAAAGAATATATATTTTTTCTCACTATTTAGGGAAAGAACAAGAAAAGATGAAAAAATAGACCCTAATGAAGATATTGAAGATGTCTATGAAAGAAGAAGACTAGAGCGGCGACTTCGAGACAAGGAGGCTGCCTACCAGGAGGTGTGTAGATATTTTTGTGTTTTAGTGTTCAGAAAATAAGAGGAAGAGGAGAAAATGGACACAACAATGAAGTACAATAAGAAAAAGAAAGAAATCTAATTCATTCATTTGCTTGTTATTTTTCTGCATTTCATAGCGTCTTAAAAACTGGGAAATTCGCGAGAAAAAGAAAGAACGCGATTATGAAAAAGAAATGGAGCGTGAGAAGGAAAGACGCCGTGAAAGGGTAAAGATTAAATCTTTAAAATGATAAAATTTGAAGATTAACACATTGTATTGTAAACTACTACATCTTCTTTATTATAGATTTTAACAACATATTTTAATATTTTCAGGTGAAGGAGGCAAAGAGACTAAAAGAATTCCTAGAAGATTACGAGGACGGCAGAGACGACCCAAAGTACTTCAGGTGGATATTTTCACTTCTTTAAACTTTCAAAGATATATTTCCTGTATTTTATCTCTCATTAGTTTTTTGTCTTTTCCAACGACAGGGGCAGCGCGCTCCAGAAGAGACTTCGAGACCGAGAGAAGGAGGTAGAGATGGATGAGCGAGACAGAAAGAAAGAGAAGGAAGAAATGGAGGAGATCAGACAGAGGCTTTTGGCTGAAGGGCACCCAGACCCTGAGGCAGAACTGAGGAGGGTAAGTCCCATCTGCATCTTATACATTTTTAGTTTTTTAATGTTATTTTATATGTGTTTTTTTTGTATATAAATGTTTCCTGTATGCTTTGCTAAAATAGGTTTCCCTTATATCTTTTTGCAGTTTTGCTAGCAAATACTGTGTCTTTACTATTATGTAAATAAATAGTTAATGTATATTATTACATCAAGATTTAGGTCACCATGCAAATTTTAAACCGCTGTATTGGCATGTTCTATACATAGTAAGAGTTCAGGAATGGGATATTTATTTCTAGAAGGCATTATCTTACCTAAATCATTACAGCCTTTGTCATTTGTTAATTATTATGACTTTCTACTGTTACGTAGGCATGAAATATTAAATTTAAAACTCGGTATTAGAAACAACGTCTAGAAGAGAAGAGAACATGATGGATAAGTAGCTTTTTTCTGCACAATTTGGTATAACGGCAATTATCTTGGTTAGCAATTATCACAATTTTACAAAATGTACCACTAACAATAGTACAATACTATTTTTATCGCAATGGTCCCACTACTACTGCTGCTACTCCTACTAATACTAGTACTGCTACTGCTACTACTTCTACTACTACTACTATTACTATTACTACTTACTACTATTACGAATACTAACTACTACTTTAATTTAATTACCTATCTAACCAGCAATTTAGTAACTAACTTTACATTTTTTTAGATTGAGGAGGAGCAGTACAAACAGTCCCCACTAAAACTCGACTCTGAGGAAAAGCCACACAAAGAGAAGAAAAAGAAGAAATCATCTAAACACTCTCCAGAACCATCGTCACGGAAACACAAGGACCAATCAGAAAAGGAAAAGGACGTGGACAAACCGCCGGATCACAATCACAACAGAGAGGACCCTCAGGAGACCAAACCCAAACCGCTGTTACGCCCCATCACCATCGCCCCCTCAGTGTCTTCTGCCGACGCCACGCCAAACTCCACCGGAAACGAGTCCCCGGTCGGCATCATTATTCCCGGCGAGAAGACAGGCGAGCTGCAGCCTCTCGATGAAAACAGACCCAAGATCGGACTGAGCCTAAAACTGGGTATGTTTTTATAACTTATTCAGTCACTTAAAGGTGCACTATGTAACTTTTGTGCTCGTGGACTTGGAGATGTTGTTGATAGTTTGCAGTGACATCATGCTGAGGGTGCTCTACATGTATCTCTATTCATGGAATATTCAACATTTGCCATGGTGACACAATGCACACATTAGCAAACACTGCCAATTTTTAAAAAGATCTGAAGTCTGAAAATTTAACAAAAAAACAACACATTTAGGTGTTTGGTTTTTAACAGCTGGTGAGAATGAAGTAATGCAACCTTGCTACATATTTGTGGTGGTGGAGTAACATAAATTTACATGCATCTTTAAGTTCAGTAGTCTACAGTTAAGTTTGATGTCACTGAATGGGAGAAGTTTGGCTAAATATTTGATGGCTATACATAATAATGTTAATGGCATTATAGTTTTCATGATTCTGAATCCCTTGGGTAGCTCTCCCTTACACCGCCCTTAATATATTCAGGCTTACACTTGACACAAAGAAACGACTGGCTTATGATCTTTTGCTGAATTTGTTCATCAAGTAAAAACAAAAACATAATAAAAATTCCTTTCCATTTTAGGTGCCACAAACAGCCCTAGTCAGCTGACAGGAAAGCGCAAAAAGCTTGAAGCTGTTGATAGCGTTTTTAATAAATTTGATGATGAGGAGACAGAGGAGCAGCCGCGCAAACGAAAACTAGTTCCCCTCGACTATGAAGAGGACAACAACAAGCGCCCAGATGGGGCAGAAAACTCTGCCTCCAAAAGTAGCATCAACACAGAAGAGAAGCGTAAACACATAGTCAAACTTATTGAAAAGATTCCTACAGGGAGAGCTGAGCTGTTCTCCTACTCACTGGACTGGGCCATGGTGGACTCGGTAATTACATTTTTGTTTACATTTTAAATTTAAAAGATTTTCATTTTTTTTGTTCATGAATTTGTTTTCTGTTTTGTAGACGTTAATGGATCGCTGTATACGACCGTGGATTAGTAAGAAAATTGCTGAATACATAGGAGAAGAGGAACCCACCCTTGTTGAGTTTCTATGTTCAAAGGTAAGCTCAATTATGTTTTTAATTTAAAAAATAAATTAATTTTAAATGTAACTTAAATTATTATTATTTTTTCTATTTAGCTAAAGGCACACAGCTCTGCAGAGAGTATTCTTGAAGATGTGGCAACGGTAAGTAGTATCAGACAATATTTCAAATGAACTTTTTAGGGCTGGTCAGTTAATTAAACTTTAATGAAGATTGAGATTCAGTCATATCTAATGGTCAATGATCAGCTTGGGGCTTTTTAATCAGTGGGTCTAGAGTCAATCCTCAATAAAAGCATTTGGTAGCATAGTTCAGACTTTAGCAAAATTCTTTTTTGTCTTTCGCCCAACTCTACTTCTAGGATCTACAGTAAACTGGAATTTTTTTGTATTTAAACATGGTTAAAGGATCTTAATCATTTGTCCTGTTATGTCAGTCTAGGCTTGTCTTACTTTATAGTTGCAGCCACTTAAGGTAAATATAAACAAATGTACTTACCAAATCTGCTTTCGTCTTTGCAGGTTCTTGACGAAGAAGCTGAAGTGTTCATCATAAAAATGTGGAGGCTGTTAATTTATGAAACTGAGGCAAAGAAGATTGGACTGGCAAAATAACTACTACACTCAGCACTCATTGTTTTATTTTAATCTTTCTTTCTGCAATGTCCTGATTCAACATTCAGCTCACACTTCTGTGGACCTGCTGCAATTTGTTTAGTAGAGAGAGAGACTGAACCAAACATTTGCACAACAGCATGACGAATCTTATATTTTTCATGTTGGGAATGGCGTTGAGTTGGACATATTCTGCCTGTATTTACTAATGTCATCGTGAGGCCCTGCTTCAATGTGACAAATAAAAATGATTCTTTTTACAAATGTTATGTGTGTCTAACAGCGAATGACTGAAAAGTTGAAATTAAAAATAATTAGGATTTTTATTCAGTGTACTTGTACCACTTAAATTCATTGGAAGCTATTTTTGATCAGGTATATGTAATTGTCATTTATTACAAAGAAATAAAGTCAGTTGTACAGTTATGTTGGGTTGTCTTGTAAGCACCTTTTCATCTTAAAATGATGAAGATTTGTTCTTTTTAAATGTTAGACTTGATCTTTCTTTGTTCAGACGTGGAGAAATTGATAAAAAATATCTTGCACTACATATTTCTGCGAAACGTTCCAACGTCTGTCTCAAATACGTGGCAGGTTGAGAGAGCACGTGACCCGGAAGCATTTTGCTCCTAATCAAACAGGCTGGTTTTCGGTTAACTCGCTTTCGCTGCAGAACATCTCTTAAAGTTTCTACAATTTTGACAACTCTCTAAGACTAACGTTGTGAACTAATCGCGCTTTCTAAGAGGATGATAACAAGACATTTTTCTAATTGTTCATTTGAGAGTTGACCAATTTTGCAAGCCTGGTTAGCTTAGCTTGAACACCGAGCTCAGCGTTGGTGTTTAGCTAACGTGGATGTGATCAGATTCAACTTAAACTTAAAACAGACTTAAATTTAGTTCGTATATCTTATTGGCGCTTATTTTATCCACGAGGATGGTTTTAAAGTCGTCGTAATCCGCGTCTATGCTCTGTTAAATAGAGCTTATTTTGGATGTTTTGGTTAGCTCGTCTTTTCAGCAGCTAATCAGTAGAAAGAGAAGAGATGGACGACTTCAGCTCGATCAGCCTGCTGTCCCTGGCGATGTTGGTGGGATGTTATGTAGCAGGGACGATACCTTTAGCTGTCAACTTTTCAGAGGTGAGTTTGTTTCATTTTATATAGAGAAATAAAGGATATGTAGCTTCTACTGTACTATTGTCACTAGCACAATGCAACTCGCAATCTGGAATCAATTGTGAGTCTCTAACTTCATAAAATGTTGTATTTTTACATAATTGCAAATCTTTATACCTTGTGTAGTTGTATCCATTTTAATTATTTAACCAGCATAACCGGTTAATAACATGTCTCGCACTTTTATTTCTTCAGGAGAGACTCAAACTTGTCACAGTGCTGGGAGCTGGGCTGCTGTGTGGAACTGCACTGGCTGTTATTATTCCTGAAGGGGTCCATGCACTTTATGAAGAAATACTTGAAGGTAGTATTTTACTAAATATTTAATTTCTATACCTTATTTGACGCTTACATTTGTTTTGTGAATGAGATTAGACTAGTTAGCATTTAGTTGGACTCTTATTGATCAAGAGCAAAGTTCATCAGGCACTACTATACAAATATAAGTACACAAAACTAGCACAAATATTTACACCACAACGGCATCATTATTTCTAGATTTGTCACCTTTAAATTTATTTGATTTCTGTCTTCTTGTGCATACAGGACACCACAGTCATGCTCAGCCTGGGGTGGTGGAGGTCTCGGAGGCAAAGGCAGAGGCAGCAGAGGCTCTTGTGGCCAGTGGAACACACGAGCACAGCCATGAACAGCTCCATGCCTGCATCGGAGTCTCGTTGGTCCTCGGCTTTGTCTTTATGCTGCTTGTCGACCAAATCGGCAGCTCCCACATGCACAGCACTGATGGTAAGTGTTAAGGGAATTGTAGTAGTGTGCTTTTACTTATACAGAGACCGTGCACAGTGTTGTATTGACCAAAAATGCAAAGATGCCTATTGCAAAATATTGTAACTTCCACCTGTAGTGGAAGGGCAGGTTGATGTTTCAATCTAGAAAACTGACTCTAATGTAGATTGATACATTATACATTTCACTTTCATATTTCATTTTATACCAATACAAAATATATTTCCATCCTTAGATCAAACACTATGAACACTATTCAAAAAAACCACCCTGTCCTCTTCTCGGGCAAACACTTACAATAATTCATTACAAACATTTTAAGCAGTCGGTCAAAAGGGGCAGCAATAGTTGGAAGCTTGTGTTCATTTGATATTTTTTTGACATTTTTTCAGATCCAGAGTCTGGGAGAGCTGCTTCCTCCAAAATCACCACAACACTGGGACTTGTGGTCCATGCTGCAGGCAGGTTTAAAATATGTGCACATAATAAATTAAAGTTGCCTTCGCATTCATGTCACTAATTTCAATATTCTTTCATTGTACAGCTGATGGAGTAGCTTTGGGTGCCGCAGCCTCCACTTCACAAACCAGCGTTCAGCTCATTGTATTTGTAGCAATCATGCTTCATAAGGTAATAAGCTAATTAATCTTGTAATGATATTGAAAATTATAGGTTTAATACAACTGGTGTCTTTCTTAGGCTCCAGCAGCATTTGGCCTTGTGTCATTTCTGATGCATGCGGGTCTTGAGAGAAATCGCATTCGCAAACATCTTCTGGTTTTTGCGTTGGCTGCTCCTGTACTCGCCATGCTAACCTTTGTTGGCCTCAGTCAGGTAAATAGCCCAAGTGACTCAAAATATGTATTGTTTTTTACAGTGTCAACATGATGCATTCTGCATGTTTTTGTGAATAATTTGTTGTCTGTATATATATATATATATATATATACAGTCCCGGACAAAAGTCTTGTCGCTTATCCATTTTGTAGAAACAAAAGCTTATAACCTGACTTTAAATAAATCGATTGGTTTTAGAAATGTCTCATATGAAAGCTAAAACCCTCCCAAATTATGCTCAATATACTAAAATAAATTTGCTTCACTGAAAAAAGATTGATGATATATATATATATATATATATATATATCAAATGCTAGAAAAGCAAATTAACAGATTGTAATATACTTAATTTCTTCTGTTAATGATTAAAACTAGCTGTAGAAAGGAGTTGGCAAAACAGAATGAAGCCTTAGTCATAGCATTGGGTTACTCAATCAACTTTTACAGTATTAGGGAGGGAAAATAATACAGCAATTATTTGAGATTATTATATTGTTGATGTTCACTCACCAGTCTACTGTATGTGCCAGTCCCAAGCCAAATTAAATCAGGACTGGTAATATTTTAAAACTATACCAATATGTGTAATTTTAGATTGCAATCGTAGAACTTATAAGATGTAATTGAAGAAGGACATATTATAATAATAATCTTGTTTCTCTTCTTCCTACAGAGCAGCAAAGAAGCCCTATCAGATGTGAACGCCACTGGAGTCGCTATGTTATTTTCTGCAGGCACGTTTCTGTATGTAGCTACGGTCCATGTCCTGCCGGAGGTGGGGGGCGGGGGGCATTCCCACTCCCCAAACGGACCCAGCGGGGGCAAAGGACTGAGCAAAGTGGAGGTGGGAGCTCTGGTTCTGGGCTGCCTCATTCCTCTGGTGCTATCAGTTGGCCACCATCATTAAGGAACTATTTAGAGACCAAAAGATGGAACAAGGAAAACAGACTTGTCAATCATGCCAATCAGTTTTACTGAATGGACCTGTGGAATTACATTTAATGAGTCTTGGAAAATTTATTTGTTGCTGTGACAATAAGGACAGTGATGTTCTTACTGCTGATAAAGACTGCAGTGCGCAAAGTATTTTAACAAGTGAAAATTGGACTCTTTTTGAGCTAGATTTAGGTTCATGGTTCGTGTCTTGATGGTTTTTTGTCCAATGTCAAAAAACATCCTTGATTTGAATACAGCTAGATTTTACTAGACTCAATGTATGTTTATAAAGCTGTAACAATATTGAAGTGCCATATTAGCTGCTTATGATGTAGAAACAAAATTAGACCATGTAGACCTTGTCAAAGCTAGAAAATTGCTACTCTCTTCAGAGGATTGCCACATACAGCTGTTGAAGAATGCTTTTTGCTACCGACATTTCTGACAAGATGACAGTTCCACCAGCTTCACATTTTGAGATTACTTTTAATTTTGGTGGTGGGTTCTTTGCTCCGTAAGATACAAACATACAATACTACATGTACAGAAACTGATTGTATAGAAATGGAGGGATATTGAGTGAATGAATAACTTGCCTTATACAGGGGCATTACCTCCCCATAGGGACCAGTGGCTCAGGAGAATTGTATTATAAGTCTAAAGATGTACTTCTCAATCAAACCTGAGCAATAATGGGGAAATTGTGGATTTATTATTGTGGTTGGTTGACATATCAGGAGCTTAAGACTCTTGAACGCAACTGTAGTCATGAACAATGGATAAACTACTTAATGTTTTATCAGGATACATGGATATTGTTGATGTTTGTCTTATATATTGGGTATGTAAATCTTTGTCTATACTGTAAAGAAAACCTTTCTTCCAAAACGAACTGATGTGAGATGGACTGCTTACTCACTTTTTTTAATTTTATCTTTTTTTTTTAAACAAACTTATTTTTTGGGACATTATTGATAGTTTTTTGCCCACAGTAAATGTTATAAGTGATTATTTTATGTGTACATTTTTAATTACATCTCTTACTATTCACTGCAAGAAATACCAATGTTTTTAGACTGACAACTTGATGTCTGAAAAAAGTAAGGGTTAAAAGGGATTTCAGTGACAGCCCCGTTGTGTACTACTACTATAACCATTAATTAAACTTAGATTTAGACACACTTTATTAATCCACAAGGGAAAATATTATTTTTATTACACACAGAAATGACAAGCAAAATATATATGAATTATAGCAGAAGAAAAATGTTACTCTTAGTGAAGACTTAATTTTTTCTTTTGCTGAGGATTTTACCTGGACGACTGAAGGATTACAAAGACATCTATTTGAATTATTGCTTTTTGTTCTAGACAGTCTTATAATTTAGTGTTGACCTTGTTTGTATTGGAATTCAATGTAAGTGCCAAACCACCTATCACAAAGTAATCTCAAACTGGAAAGAAGAGAAAGATTTTAGTGGTTTTAGTTGAAATTTGAATTTGTCTTTTAATATTTTAGTACACAATGGGGCTGACACTTATTGAAGGCGGTTCACATGTCTGTTGTTGTATGCATTTTATTTATTGTCATTCCTGAAAGAGTCTGCCTTATTTCCACACTCTGATTGTTAATATGGCTTGTAAAGCATTGTGTTTTATGATGATTAAATTAAACATTTTCTAACTGGTGCAACAAGGTCTAACGTAATGGTTCAGATCAATATATTTAGCTAATGATAATCTAGGTAACGATTGCATAACTACATCATGTTTTGCGTAATGAGCTTCACCCTTAGGGCTTCAATAGTGAGTACGTGTGTGTCCTTCAATTAGTGTCACCATTATGGTGTTTTGGGTTACGGCAGTTTACAGCTTAGCATCTTTGTATTATATGTTTACAATATGCAAACTTAATTAATGTATAATCAATTTGTTGCATATTGGTACATTTATTTTCTTATTTTATTTTAGAAGTTATTAAAGATGCAACACACTACTTTTCTGGTGGAGGGTCTGCTATCTACTTGTTTCCATGGAGATGTTATTGCTTTGCCTGGAATGTTCTCTGGTATGACACTAAACATTTTCATATAGTATATATTCATTATAGGTGTTTCTATTGGTCAAAAATAATTCCTTCTGGGAATAGGGGCGACTTTCCACAGATCTGAACTATAATGTAGTGTTGTGCTGTAACATGTTTGTCTCTCTCCTGATAGACAGGTTTAATCTATATTGTGAAACATTCCAGACAAAGCATTAACATTTTGATGTGGCAGACCATCCACTAAAATATTACCCAGTGCACCTTTAAATAACTACACTTTTTATCACTATATGGATATAGAAGCTACCACAGCTATTTGAAAGTGGTCATTTACTTTTGCCCCAACTGTAACCCATCAACTGTTATGCAACCATAGTGTGCATTGACAGTGTTATATAGTTACAATGAACTATAGGTCACCCCGTCCCTTGAGCTAAATGAGTTGACCTATAACATTAAATTCTATAGTAACTTTCTGTAAACCAACTATGTTTACACCGAAAATCTGATTATTATTTGATTTCTGGTGATGAAATATGCAAACAGCAACATCTGATTCACCCTTGTGGAAGTATATTAACATGAAAAATACAACAAAAAGACAAACTAACAGATTTCAGACAAAGGGTAAAATATGGACAGCATTATTCCCAAAATAATTGTACTTTAACCTCCAAATACCACTGTTATTCTAAAACCAGTGAAATGTGGGGTTTGGATTATGAGATTTCCTTTGTGCATGTAAGCTGCCTAATGACTACTCCACATGATCTGATTTGCTGTTTTTTTTCCCATTTAAATCCCAAACGGCTTCACCCTTTTGAGTCCCAAATCCTTCCAGTTTTTGAACTTGTCCCGCAAGTTGAGAACATACTAATTCTATCTAATTATTTTTTTATTTTTAAGATTCTATATTGTGCAAAATTGACGTGTGATCTTTAAACCATGTTAGAATGTTGTTTCTTTATCAACACACCTGGACTTGTGTTTTGTATCATTCACACATGTTTGAGTAACCCTTTAATATTAGTCTGTCTACATCTCTAAATCTCAAAATGCTTTTTTCCTCCTTGTGATGTCATGAGGGGGTAGTTTTCAAGTTTTAACTTCTGTTCAGTGGAAATTTGTATTTCCAGGTCTGAAATTGTCCAAAATATTCTAGTGAATGTGTATGAAGTTTAAAAACATAGTCGAGCAGTTCCTGTATTACCACATGACATCACAAGGTAGAACAGAGTGTTTTTAGTTTGAGACAAGAACTCAGCATAAATATGCAGGATTAATGTGTTAACCCTCTCCAGGCAGGCGTTGCAGATTTGCAACAGCTAAATTCCAATTACCTACTTACTCCACATCCATATTTTATGAGCTTTTTTTACTCAGGAGCCTTTTCTCCCATCCATGCTGATAAACGTGGACGATGCAGACTGTGCAAGAATGACTACAAGCGGCCTGAAGTGCAAAATACTTTTTTTGTTTACAAAGGATAAAAAAGTCAGGATTGTATATTACTACCCCATATTATAATTTTCCCCAAATATCAGATTTTTCCTGATACTAAAAAATAATTTGAGCCTGAGAGGGTTAAACATGTGTGAATGAAACCGAACAGAACTCCAGGTATGTTTTTGATGAGGAAACAACATTATAAAATACCTAGATCAGAAAACAGCTTAATATTGGCCCTTTAAACTATTATGACCCCTAAAACCACTGTTTATTTTTCTCTCATCAGAATTTGCCCTCCTGTCTAATGCTTTACACTGTACTGTATATATTTTGTATATGTGTGGTCATCCATCGTCACTTTTGGCAAGAAGTTGCTGTCTGCTGCTTAACTCATATGCAGAGGCTGAGCTGTCCGTGTCTCTATAATCCCTCTTCCATTTACTCCAACACATGTCCTGTCAATTAATCTGATACACTCCCTCTTTATCCCTGCTTTGCTCTTGATGCTGCCTGGACACAAATGCAGATGTTTTCTTTAATTCTGCATGACAACTACCTGCCAAATGTCCTACTGTAATCTCAACAAAGGCTTTTTCCTGGCTCTGTATTATTGACGCTCCTAAATCTCCCTCTCTGGTCCCTCCCCCTTCGCTTCCTCCTCTCTGCTTATTGTGTTTTGCTGTGTCCAGTGCACTGCCAGCTATTGACCGCTACTTATTTCCACTACACTGACGCACTGGGATGCACCTATCTACTATATATGTGTGTGTGCCACTGCCATCGGGTGTTATTGGGCTAATTGTTATTGACTAATTCTTTGTTTTTTTGGTATTGATTCTCACCATCTCTTCACGGGACAGGGGAGAGATAGCCGGATAGCTGGATCATGTTCTCCTCTTCATCCAGAAACTCTCTACACTTGTCGTGGTCGTCCATGGAGCAGTCAGACTCTGAGGCGTTGGATATCAGCACCAAAGTGCAGATTCATGGCGTGCTGTGGAAGAGGCCGTTTGGACGCCCGTCTGCAAAGTGGTCCCGCAGGTCAGTGAGAAACGAGATGGGAGGTTTTAAATATTTGAGTATTTATCACAGATTGGTAGAGTAGAGGAGCTAAAAATGTGTACTTCAAGTAAGAGTTGAGTATTGTTACTTTAAAATAACATTACTCATTTAAAAATACAAAGTAGTGGTGCAAGTAAGAATATAAGACTAACTGAAAGAAAGAAAACATCTGATTTACAATTTGAAGTTATTTTAATTGGAAAGACAAAACATGAGTCATGATTTGTGGTCTATCATTTGAAAATACCAGAAAAGTTAGAACAACTTTTTCATATCTGAAAGAGGAATGCAAGAAACAAAATCATCATAAAGCTTTTGCTGCTTGCAGACTTGTCCATTTAAACAGAAAACCTATTGGGCATTACAAACAGTGTAGTTATTGGATTTTTTTTGGTTTGTGTTTTAGTTAAAGGTCCTATATTCCGCACAATTTACTCTTGTAAGTTTTACACCATCTTATAATGTTGTTGCTTCCTAAAAAACAAACCTGGAGTTATGTTTTGTTTCTTTCACATGTGTTTGAGTGTTTATTAATAGTCTGTTCCACCTTGGGAGGTTATGAAGCAGAAGTTTAAGTTATCATCTATGTTTTACCTTTAGTTCTAGTGAAGGTGAATGACATAGTGGTGCACTTCCTGTAGTACCACATGATATCACAAGACGGAATACATTGTTTTCTGTTTGAGAGAAGAACTCAACCTAAAAATGCAAGATTTGCGTGTTAAACATGTATGAATGAAACAAAACACAACTTCAGGTATGTTTTTGATGAAGAAAAAACATTATAATATAGATAAAAAATAATGTAATATGGACCCCTTAATGATGTAAACATGTATTAATCATATAATAATAATAAAAAAACACCCATTCCTACGTTTTATTTTACTATTAATTGTCTTTTCATATAGCAGATACACCTATATATTACTTAACATTTGTAACACCTTGTAATACAGATTAACATTGTCTCCTGGTTCAGATTCTTCATCATCAAAGACAGTTTTCTGCTCTATTACGCTGAAAATGAGAAGAGGAACTTTGAAACTAACAGGTGCCTCAACATCCATCCAAAGGTTTGTGAATATTTTCAATTTTTAACTGGAAGTGTAAGAAATACATTAAAATAGAAATGCTATTTGTTTTAGGGAGTGATTCCTTTGGGTGGATGTGTGGTGTCGGCCAGTGAGAACATGGGGATGCCCTTTGCCATTGAAATCCACTTAGAAGACTTCTGCGTAAGAAAACAGACACACGCAAATGCATCTTAAAAATTCAGTACCTTGAAATTGCTTAGTAAAACATGGCATGTTTAAAGGTAAGCATACATATTACATACAAGACAACATTTAAATTGCTGTTTTGGAGATATTCTAAATTTCAGTATTGAGTATATTGTCTTTAACAAGAAAAAGGTATATAAAGACTAATATTTCAAAAAGGACAATATTTTTGTGGTGTCTGGTTAATCACTATAGTTTGTCTCATACTTAATACTCAATTAAGAAATTTACTGGCACGTTTTAGCATATGTGCAAGAAACAAACAACATGCATTTACCAATAATTGTTTTTGAGGTAATTGAGGTAATCTAATATAATCGATCAATTTTATCCACATTGCCATCTCTTCTAATGTTTATAGGTCATGAATGTTAACTTGTGTTTAACCTCATTGTCATCATAGTAGGTGTATGTATGTGATACTTTTTGTTACTGGACAAAAGTGGGTCTTCAAACTGGAGTAGGTCCCTGGTGAGGTACAGTGTCTTCCCATTCATACTGATGGGACTCCCCTGGGGCATCAGACAGGGACAGTACCACAGACAGGGACTCCCATGTGAGGCGTTTATGGAACATCTGTAAAATGGCATTTCTGGAGCATAAGTTTATTAGATTAGATTCACCCAGACATTTGAATCACTGTAGACTAGGACTTGAGTTGAAGTTTGTTTTATTTCTATTTCTATTTTATTGTTTCCAGGGCACTATAGTTCTGGCAGCGGAGTCTGAAATGGACCAGGTTCAATGGATGGAGATGATACAGGAGTCTGGAAAAGTGTGAGCAAAATCAATACATATTATATAAAAAAAACAAAAAACTGAAATCTATCTATGCTTCATACTGTTAGAGAAATG